ATTAAGTAATGATTACAACTATATCTTGACCAAATGTAGGGCTATGACTAACACTGTCATCCCGCCCCGTAATCATTTTAACACCTTTGCCTGAGGAAGAAGCCAGTGGAGCTTTGAAAGCTGGCAACATGAATAACATACATTTTGGTTGACCAAATAAAGGTACCAGTGTGGATTTGGGATTATACTGTACTTAGATATATAGATATACATACAACACACACAGGTTGACCAGATGTCATAACCACAAAGGAGGACAAGCCACCACCGTAAAAGGCAGGACATTCAAGACAAATGTAGGACATTACAAAATAAAAGCTAATGTCCTCGAAAAGGAGGAATAAAGGATGCTTTGACACAAGAGTTTGTCAGTGACCTGGAAGGAAACACTGGTGAGTGCTAAAAAGAGAAAAGCACATACTATGAGGACTCTTACTTTGAATGCTGCAAAACATCAAAACAAGTGTATATGTGTGTGTATACACACATATATATCTATATCTATCTATCTATAGCCAGTGTGATGTAGTGGCTTGGGCATTGGACTAGGACTCTGGAGACCAGGGTTCAGATCCCAGCTCTGCCATGTAAACCCACTGGGTGACCTTGGGCAAGTCACATTGTCTCAGCCTCAGAGGATGGAAATACCAAACCCCCTCTGAACAAATCTTTCCAAGAAAACCCCCGGACAGGTTTGCCTTAGGGTCACCATAAGTTCGAAAAGACTTGAAGTCACACAACAACAAGCAACAATATACACACATGCAAGACACTTTCTATAATAGCCTGCTATTAGCTTGAATATTCCTATTGGAGCCACAGAGTACTACCTTCCAGTTCATGTTGGCTTTTAAAAATATACTTCTCCTTTGTGTAAAGATGACTCCTTTTTAAAAAGAAAAGGTATATTTAAAAGTCAGAGGATGGCAATGGCAAACCCCCTCTGAAGAAGCTTGCCAAGAAAACCCTATGATTTGAGTCACAAATGTTTGGAGGCACTCAACAGCAACATATTTAAAAGTATTGAGAAGGGAAGACATGGCTTTCCCACCAAGCACCTTTCTGTCTTCATGAAACACTTTTCTTTCTGAAACTGTTTTTATTCTTTACTATTTTAGACATTATTATTTATCTATTTTTACATCTCTCTTCTGTCAGTGTGCCCTGAGGTCACTTGTGTACAGAATTTTCTTCTCAACAGCTCCTGTTTGGAAAAAAACTTTTTGCACCACAGAGGTTGTTCATCCTTTAATAGGGTGATCATTAATGATGCATTTGTATTAAGATGACATTTAGGAGGCTCCTCATATGTTACGGGGTGAGATAAAATATGTTAATATTTGAATAGTTTATAAACCCTAACATTATGGGGGAGCTGTTCTCGTTGTGGTTAGCTTATATCCTAAAATTGCATATAATCCCCCCCTTACAAATGTGCAAAGATATAATGTCAATATCATACTGCAACATCAATTGTATATTATCTCTCCCCTTACTCCTTTTATAATGAATTTGAAAAATGTCCACATTCAGGCTGTAGAAGTCACTGTCTCCCTTGCAGAGATACCTTATGTTTCTGTTGCCCTTTATTAATTATTTCTGTGTTTAGCCCACCTCATCCTGAGGGCTCAGAATGGGTGGCACTACTTTATTCTATAATTTATACTTCTGATGAGACTTTAAAAGTGGTTAAAATTAAAGCTAAAAAGAAAATAAGTTAAAGTTAAAAAGAAAATAATGCCCCCCCTTTAAAAAAAATCCTATAAAATAAAAAGCTAGTATAAAGTTCTTCTTTTTAACTTATGATGTATCAGGCTCTTCAGCTGTGATGAACCTCAGTTGTAAGAGAGGAGGAGAAAGGGATTATGCTGTTTTCTAATTTTAAGAAGCAGTTTTAAGACTAAGCTTTCCTGTTGCCATCAGTGTCAGTGCACAGTAGGGATTTCAAGTGCTCTCTGAGCAGCTGGAGGGGGGTCTGTGCTTCTTGCAGCAGGTAACTTGGTTTAGTTCCCAATTAAGGACTGCCTGAGGAAAACAGGAAAATGGAAGGCATATAAGGAAGCTGCTAACTGAGGCACTATGCCTTGCTTTTTTTTTTTCAGGTATTTTAATATTTAGATATAGAAAAGAAATCGTTACACTAACAACTCCATTCTATAATCGAGCCATGTGCATGCGTTATATACTAAAGCTTCTGGAAAGCGAGAGAACGGTTGGGGGAAATGACTATTCAAACTGCCCTGCTCTTCAAAGTTCAGCAGCAAAAGGTTTAAAAAAAAGATGTCCTAAACTGTCATAACAAAGCAATGTTAACTCATCATGTCCCAAAAAAGCTCTAACACTTTGTGCAGTGAAAAACAAAGAGGTCTTTAAAAACCTGCTTTATATTTAGTCCTCTACCGAGTCTTTGATTTTGAGCACCACTACAGTAAGAGGTGTTGCTACAATATGTATCTTTACTCAGATACCAAAACAAAAATAATACGTCCTGAACATCCACCTTTTTTTCCTGGCTCGGATGTCATTATATGAATATATTTCATGTCCTTTGTTAACCTATCGCTCCTTTTAGTTTGACCACTTTGTACTTTATCCTACCTTGCCCTATCCCCCTTGCAATCTGGATAACTAGACATTTTGATTAGTAACTGCTGCCATCACAACATGGAGTACTGTTGAATAAAATAAAAGGAACAAAGCTTAGCTATGGCAGAAACATAATAACTGTGATAAGAGATTGTATGCTACTTACCAAAGTCCAGGTTGGCAAGAAACAATAGTTACAGATTACTAGTCATTCATACCTATTATGTCGTCGTTCTTCAGCTTCCTTATTTATTCTGCTTTTTACCTTTGTCCTTTCTTCCTTTTGCAGCAAAATTGCTAATAAGCATAATTACCTCTGAGCAAAAGCCATGCTACTTCTGTAATCTGTAAAATAGCCCTGAAATTTCAAACACTTCCTCAAGGCAAGAAAAATGTAGGGTTTACATGACGTAAACGACTTCACAAACAAGCCAATCCCAGCCATATTTACAAAGAAGTTCCACTGGTTTCAACAGCACGTATTTGCTGGTGTGTATGTTTATAATTGTTGCACAATAGTACAAACCACTTTCAAGGCGCCTTAACTCACAGGTGAGTACAAGGTACAGTATGATCTTTAGATAGTCCACTAGTCCATTTCTGGTAGACTACTTAGTGCTTGCTAGTTGCTCAGAATTTTGCTTGACTAAGTGGACCTTGGCCTGATCAAGCAAGTCACTTCCTGGGTGTGCACATTTGCTTTGTAAAATTAAAACACATGGGTAAACCATGCGTATTCTAGTTCCTTAAAGAGAGAGTGTATTAGTGCATGACCAAAGCCAGCCCATCCCTGGTTTGTTCCAAGGCAATAATGGGGGGTTGCAGACTGCCAGAAATAGTGCAAATTGAGTCCACTTTTAGGGTTAGGGTTAGTGCTAGGGAGTCATGGGAATTGTTTTTTTTCTGAGACATTGAGCCTTCTCTGTCAGAGAGCTCTGGTGCCACAATAAAATACAGTTCCCATGATTCCCTAACCCTAACCCTAACCCTAAAAGTGGACTCAATTTGCACTATTTCTGGCAGTCTGCAACCCCTCAATAATAATAATAATAATAATAATAATAATAATAATAATAATAAATTTTTATTTATAGCCTGCCCCTCTGCAGAGCAATCGAGGCGGGTTACAACATTTGAAATACACAGCTTAAAAACATTCTTATTCCATATCCAACCCTCCCACCCCTTAAAACAGATTTAAAGTAATTATAAATGAAAACAGCATGCTCCATGATAAAAAGCAATAAGCAATATAACAATACAATAATACAATAATAACACAGTAATGGGCGGGCATGGGAAAGGGGCATGAGCAGGCAGTTTAAGTCATCTTCAACTCATTGTTTTAAGGGCTGCTTCACACAAAGAGATGCTCAGCTTGCATTTTACATAAAAATGAATACAGTAAACATATTTGCAAGCATGTATCATTTAGACAGGACATAAATACCCAAATCCTGTCCGAACTTGGAAGCTAAGCAGGGTCAGCACTGATTAGTACTTGGATGGGAAACCACCAACAAATACCTGATGCTGTATGCTATATTTCAGAAAAAAGGAATTGGAATAACCACTTCTGAGTATTCCTTGCCTTAAAAAAAAACCCTATGAAATTCATGGGTTTGCCAGGTAGCCTGAAGGCACATACAAACCATTTAGATACCTAGATTTGCTGCAGCATTGGTAAATATTATTTTAAATAACAAAGTAAAGTGTTTGTCCTGCTCAGGCTACCTTTAAAATTCAATAAGTGTTTGTTGGCCACAAATTATATGCGTAGGTTCATTACTTCTGTGCTCTATTTCCATATTAGCCATCTAGAGCTGTAAAAATAAATACAATTGCCCCTCCATTTTCACGGACGTAGAGTCCGCGTCACTCGCCTGTTTGTGGGCAGCAAATGGAGGGGGACAAAATAGAGTGCGCACCCATGGGTGCACGCCACCATTCAAGCCAATGGGGCTTGAATATTGGCGATTTTCCATTTTCGCAAGGAGGGGTCCAGAATGGCTCCCCCGCGAAAACAGAGGGGCAACTGTATGTTGCAAATACATATGATTGCTTTCTCCTATTGCTCCAAGAGTACTTTCCATACTCAGTGCTACAGACTTGAAGTTTTTGAATCTCAAACAGGAACTTTTCCAAATTCTGACTGTTTTGGCAGTGGTGGACAACATCGCTCCTGAAACTTTATCCTTTCTTATTTTAACAACATGGAGATGCTACAGCTTAGCTTATTTCCATGTCATCAAGGTAACATTTGTACATTCTGGAATATATGGATTAATCCCGCTGTTGTTTTTCTCACTATTGCTCCAAATTGTTGGATCAGTGATGCTGGAACCAGCTACTTCAGGACTTAGCCCAGCTTTATAGGAGACGACTATCCTGTATTAGCAGGTCCCATATTCACAGCATACTGAGACCTCAGAGTATGTTTTTTCACATGCCCTCCAATTGTCATGATTTATTAAGGGGAGTCACCATTAATCATCTGTCTTTCCACTTTTTCAGCTGCTTTTAAAATGTCCCAGTTTCTTTTCCTTCCAGTTTCCCCCTTTGACCTCATCTTATTTCATTTGCTGCAAATGAGCTCAAAGTATAAAATTGCTTTGCAGGGAGAAGAGGGGGCTCTTCCCAGTTGGTGTAGTCAAAAGCAATCTCCTTCATCCTCTCCTAGTTTGTGTGTTCATTAATAAACCTTGCTGTTTTGACTACAATCTAATGTTGCTTGGCCATGTGTCCCAGTTTTTCATCTGTAAAATGATGGGGGTTTATGTCTTCATGTAATCGGAGCTTGTATTATTCCGTACTGTATCATTTGTGAGTGCACATGGCAGATATTTTATTAATGTTTTCTTATACAATAAGCTCCTAAATGAAGGAGACAGTAAGCTAATCTTCTCAGATGTACAATTTACTACTTTCAAGGGAGGTTTTATAGTGGGAAATTGTTTACAAAATGCATTTCCCCACCTGAGATAATAACATCTCAAAATT